GAGAGACCTCCCGCAAACACGGGGAAAACATGCAACCTCCACACAGAAAGATCCTGACCTGATGGTGAACTCAGGGCCTTCTTGCTGTGAGGCAAGCATGCTGCAGTGGTTAGCACACCAAACAACCTTTTCAAAATATTTCTTGGAAAAGTCCTCAACTCCATATTAAGCAATCAGCTGAGATTTTCCATCTGGGCACTGTTTAGTGCAGTTTTGTCTGTCGGTGGCATTAGTGAGTCTGTTGCTCTTAACTTGCCAGGGTTACTGTTATAAAGAAAAACACATTAGTCCAACAGCTCTTTAAAATAGAATCCAGTGTGTCCATATTCAGACGCTGAGCATGCAGTGGACATGTGGCTCTGTACAACCTTTTAGAAAGGTCGTGGAATCTTTAATGCAGCTGAAAACAGAGAGATTGTTTCCATATAAACAGTATAATGTTTCAGCAGATGTTCGGGTTGAGTGCTGAGTCTCATCTCTTCACGTAAGACTGCAATAAAATTTTACGACGCAGATTTAGCTGCAAAAAACAATGATTTCAACACAAGAGTTCAAAAAACAAGAAGACCCGGCATGATTACTTTGGAACTGAGATCATCTCGGAGGACATGCTTTTTTCCATTTCCAGCCTCGCTGTCAGACACGCAGTCAGCTGTTATCTTCAGTCTCATACAATGAAACGCAGACGTCTCGGTCGCTGGTCAGTTTCATCTGCCCACAGTCCTGAGGATGAATAGTTTTATTGATCTTTGTGCAGTAAAGAGAGAAAAAACTAAATCGAATCAGTGTTCGCTGTGTGAACTTTTAAATCAACAACAGATCCCCACAGTACACCTTCATCAGTTGTCTCCTACTTCTTGTAAGGGTCTCGCAGCCTCTATGGAGTTACTCTGTCTCCATGTCTTCAAGAGATTTTCAGGTTTAGCGCTGGCTTTGATTCAGTGATATTCAAATCAGGACTCTGCTTGGTTTGTTGGGCTCAGATGCCTCCTGATGGTGATGGAGGAGAAGTTAAATATACGAGTGAATACATCTTGTAATGCTCAAATATAAAATTAGTTGATGTTTGAAGATGTTTGAAACCCAGGATTCAGCCGAGCACCGTCCTTCACCTGAGAGAAATTTTATTTTTGTGAGACTCAGTTGTGGAAAATGTAAAAGTGAGCGTAGCTGGATTGCTTTCAGCGCTCAGAGTCTGTTTGTACGTCTGAAGTGGACAGACTGTCATCTATCACCTGTCGGCCGCTCTGTTTGGATATATTATAAAGCCCTGCGTATTTTATCATTGTCCATCAGCTAACACACTCACCTGCTTTTGCATCAGACTAGTCTTAAACCCACAAAAGTCGCAAAGGCTCCACAGTTTTAGTCTTGGCTACATCAGCTTTGCTTGATTTACAGTTCAAAGTAATCCTTGAATGTTACAGTGGGCCTTAATTCAGGCTTTCAGGTCATCTTCTGTCTGAAAAAAGATGCTTTAGCTCCCTTTAACTGGTGCTTCTTTCAAACAAAAAAAAAGGAACAGCTGTGTGCCTGAGATGATCATATTAGAGATATCCGCCCTCATTGACAGCAGGTGGGAGTGGAAACAAAGCAGTCTGAAGCCTGAGCTTCTGGCTCTCAGGGAGTACTTTGGCCATGTTTGTTATGATCATCTTCAAATGTAATAGTATATATACAGTATGACAGACGTTAAAAACAAGCATAACAAATATTTTTGGGTCTCTCAGACAGAGATTACAACGTGAGAATATTTTAGGACATGTGGGAGTTTTTCTGGAGAGAAGATGACACTTTAACGAATGTTTGTTTTTTTGCAACTTGAAATTTGCAACATTTTCTGAAAGTGTAGCCATGTAAACATTAGTGGTGTGCTTTAGTTTGGAGGATGAATGAAGTGCTGTCTGTAACAGGATTAGACTTTGTGAGAGCAAACAAGAACAAAACAACCCTTTTATGGAAAAGAGCATGGAAACTGTGAACAGTCAGGACACTTGTAGAAATCAAGTGAAGTGAACATTTTCATGAGAGCATAATGAAAGAATCTTTGCAGACGGGATACTAAGTGAGTGTGAACACATTTTAAAAAAATCAGACATAACTGGGACAAAGCAGTGAGGACTTTTGGGAGAGCGAAAGCTTAATAAATGAGAGCTGAGAAGCTTTTGTTGCCGAGTTGAAGTGTGAAATGGCAGCTGCCTGTGTGGGAGAAGAGGCTTTTTAATTAGATTAAATATTGACATGAACTGAGTATGGATAAATGTGCGGTTCCAGGGTTGTGGGCGGAAATGTGATGTGCTGACTTTGGAAATGAGTCACGGTAAAAATATGACAACAAAAAAATAGGTTTGAAGCTGTTAAGACAAACACTGAACTCATATATATTTCAGGATGTAGTGTCTGGGGATGGGTTATTACTTTCTCTGTTATTACTTTCATTTTTTTAAAGTCAGTTCTTCATTGCCAAAGATTTACAAGAAATGCAGATATTCTTTGAGAACAGCTTGTTAAAGCTCCATCTATAATCAGGCCTATGTTCAGTTTCTGCTGTGAAGTATTTCAGCAGTAAAACAGCGACACACTGTTAAGTGATGTGTTTACCGAGTGCAGGTGAAGTGGAGCAGGATCGGTGTCTGCATTATTGGCCGAGTCTTTGAAGTCCAGACCTGCCTTCTGACAGTTAATAATTAATAGTTATCATCTCCTTGCCCCAAGTTTGGAGATTTTTATTTAAAAAAAACAAAGAAACAAACTTTTGTTTAGGATTTTTTGGTCGCTAGAAGATGCATTTACTGTCCAGTGATTGCCAAGACTTGCGATAGCTTACGGTTTTGTAATGTGGACCTTACACAGTTAATTCACACTTAACCCTGTGACCCTTGGAAACATCACGCGGTTTGAATCTTGCTTCTCAAAAAAGGACAAACTCTGATCTCCATTAGTTTCCAAGTGACTACAGTAACAAGAGATAACATAAAACATGAAAGGTAAAATAAATAGCCATTACCATCTTACGGGTAAAGTACAGATTAAGAAATAGTTCATGAAACAATATTTAGGTCTTTGGTATGTTTCAAAAAGATATTTTAAATAAACTATCACAGCTGAGGAAACTCAAAGTCCCAAAACAGACTGGGATGATAAGAGAAGGGCTGACGATGACTTAGCGGTCTAAAAAAGTACCGAAAAAAACTCTAGGCAGATAACTGTGACAAACACACAAAAACAGTCTGACAAAGAGTGATCGTGGACCACTGGAATATAAGCTGGGGAGCCAGCAGGATGAGTGGTGACAGGTGAGTTTGAGTGTAATGCGCTCATGATGATGCAGAGGGATATTTGATCTATCTTGGGTTACTTTTTCGCTGGTTATGGTCATATGGAGCCTAAATTTCTGTTTTATATTGTAACGTAGAGATCCTACGATAATACAGAGAAACCGCCAACAATCAGACAAGTTCTTGGTGACAGTTGGAAGGAAAAACTCCCTTTCACAGCACGTCTTTCATCCTGTCTTCCTTCTCTCACCCCAACCGGTCGCAGCAGATGGCCCCGCCCCTCCCTGAGCCTGGTTCTGCCGGAGGTTTCTTCCTGTTAAAAGGGAGTTTTTTCCTCCCACTGTCGCCAAAGTGCTTGCTCATAGGGGGTCATATGATTGTTGGGTTTTTTTCTCTGTATGCATTATTGTAGGGTCTACCTTACAATATAAAGCGCCTTGAGGCGACTGTTGTTGTGATTTGGTGCTGTGTAAATAAAATTGAACTGAATTGAATTTTAACAGGAAAAAACAGGCTCAGGGAGGTGCAGTTGGAGTGGTTATTGTTTGCTTTGCAATAATCGCACCAAAAATAAGATTTCTGAGAACTGAAAAGAATAAACTAAGAGAGAAAAGCTCTGTATTAAAATAAAGACAAAAATATGGAAAATAATGTGATTCTAGTGATTCACAGATATAATGGTAACATACTGTAGTTAATGAGCATTTAAAAGGGGACCAATTATTCTAATTTCTAGCACATTCATTCATTTATTCATGGACTCTGATAGATTTGCTTTTGTTATTTTATTTGCTGCCCTGCTCTTGCAGTTTATCATTCACTTTAAGTCAAAATTCCTCTGATTGGCTGCACCTCACAAAGGGTTTTGAACCACAGGTGAGTCAGCCTGCCGTGGTCACAGTCAGAGGCATGTGCCCGAGATGGCATTTTAACAATATTCTCCCTCTAGGACATCATGCAGATCCAATAGAAGAAAAACCTGTCTGAAAGTGAGTGTGCAGAGCAGTCTGAAGCCTGAGCTACAAGTGGCGGGTTGACGATGGCTGACTCCTCCAGTCCTCAAGTTGAAGCATCAATGGGAAAAATGCCAAACTCCAAATTACCGCTGATGGATCCATTGGAGTGTGTGATAATAAGAAAGTGCTGTCTGAATATTTGTGTAAATGGGTGAAGTGGCTTGTTATTGGCTCAGAGTAGAACAATGCTATATAAGTCCATTTACCTCCTGGCTTGCGGAGATTAGTTGTACATATTTTGGCCTCATCATTCAAATATTTTTCCATGTTTAATATGAACATCCGCCACTGAAAAAGTATATACAGAAAATAAGGAAAGAATAACAGGATTACTTTGAGTGGTGGCGGTGGTGGACTTTAGAGGATAATATTGAGGAATATTAATGGAGATTTGAGGAATCTTTGAGGAGTGTTTGGTCAATATTTGTCGGGCATATTTCTAAGTGTTTGGAAAGTGAATTCACATTGTTTATGGAGTTTTGGTTTAGTATGTGTGGGGAGCTCGGAGAGTATTTGTAAAGTGATTAGGGAGTGTTTGTGGACTATGTGGAGGGTTGGAGAAGTCACTGGCTGAGTGATGGTGATGGTGGAGCACTGGTGAAGTATTTAGACGTTTAGGAGATTACTGCCGGAGTATACAGGGGCGTGCTGATATACTGTACGACTACATCCTGTAGATTCACACATATGTTATCTCTCCCTGCAGACGGCTCAGACGGTCCTCCTGGTCGTCACTGTCTTCACTATCTGCTGGATGCCCCACCACATCATCGTCATGTGGGCGGAGTTCGGCACTTTCCCCCTGACCCAGGCGACCTATGTCTTCCGCCTCGTGTCCCACTGCCTGTCCTATGGAAACTCCTGTGTTAACCCCATCCTGTACGCCTTCCTGTCTGAGAACTTCCGCAAAGCTTGTCGCAAGGTCTTTACCTGCTACTTCCTGTACCCGCCGCCTCCCACAGAAAACGTGGTTCGTTTTCGCATGGAAAACTTCTCCACCACACACTCCACCACCAACATATGAAGGGCCAAGATAAATGACGCTCAGGGTGCTTATCTAGCAGTAAATGAGGGAAAGCTTTTTCTGAGTGGATCTGCTGCAGGCAGGTCACATGAAAATAAGACGGCACGTGATTGGAGGATTTATTCACAAGAAAACAAGAGACTCATCAGAAACTTGCAGAGCCTGCTGGACTGCTTTAAGTTTTGTGTAAAGATATTTCAGATATTGTTTTTAAGCTTTAAACTTAATATTAAAAAAACATTTTGTGATGTGTTGGTTTTTTTATCGAAAATTTTGAAACTTTCATACTTTTATGGTTTTTTTTGTTGTTGCTTTTTTTTTAAATAAGAAGAATTTTTTCAGACCATTAACGCAACCTGAAATCTTTCAGTTTGAAAATGTAAACTGTCATCATATCATACGGTATACAAACGAAATATACATAAACGTTTACATTTTTCATATTTTTATTCATTTTGTTTGGACTGACCGAGAGTCTAAAAGAAAGACATGCGAGTTTAAAGTAACCAGATCAGTTAAAAAATGTAATTATATTTAAAATATAATAAATAATTCTGCAATTTGTTTTTACAAAAATTAATTAATTACTTAAAAAAAACCTTTAAATCTGTATTTCAGTTTTAATGGTGTAAAATTATTTATCTATTTATAATAATTGTGCTGGTTCAGATTATAATTTCAGTTTTTTATAATTCAGTGTTTTTTATTCATTGGCAACCTTTTCGAACCTTTGAAAACATGAAATCTGAATATTTATCCCGATTCAAATGACATTTATAACATCTGGAGTTTGTTTGTGTCTCACGTTATGAAATTAGGTCTGATTCATTAAAAATGTATTAATAATTAATGAAGCTCGTTCAGCTTTGGTCCACAGTCAAACTTTGTGTTTCCTTTCTTTTAGGGGACAGAGAACAGAAATGACCATTTGGATGTGATGAATGTGTGTGCATGAAAGACAATAACACATGTTTATGGACAATTACTCCACATTAGCAACGTACTACCAATGATTTGACTTAACTAGGCAGTGAGCAAGGTCTGTATTTGATGATCTGTGTAATATTTATAGTGTGTGTAATCACAGGTGTTTGACCACAGTTTCTTTGTGTGTAAATAAAGTATGAACTGACTTCAACAAGCGTTGGACTCTCATGTCTATGTGAAGGGCATTGTCCGACATTTAGTGCCAGTATATGTGCAGAGCGAAGAAGAAAAGAAGAAACATATATATGGCATCAAATGAAAACCCGGCAAATAAAAGTGAATAAAACTACCATCTTTATTAAAACGTAAAAGCATAACAAAGGGAAGCAATTGTAATATTCTGTACTCTCGTACTGTTTGGTTAAACATGGTGATGTCAAGTATATCGCTGTATTCTATTATACTATACAACAGCGGTCCCCAACCCCCGGGCCTCGGACCGGTACCGGTCCGTGAGTCGTTTGGTACCGGGCCGCGAGAGTTGAGGCTCAGGTGTGAAATGTCTGGTTTTCAGGGTTTTATCGGTTTTCAGCGTTAGTTTGTTACCGTTTTTATCGTTAACTCGGTTTTCCTGGGTCTTTTCATGTGTGTTATGAATAAATCTTCTTTTTTTCGGTACCGGTACTAGTTTTATTTTGTTGTATTCATCCGCGACACCTTAAAGGCCGGTCCGTGAAAATATTGTCGGGCATAAACCGGTCCGTGGCGCCAAAAAGGTTGGAGACCGCTGCATTAGACTACACGTATGACCAAACATAACGACATATTCATATAGTGCTTTATTCAATACGCTTTCTATACCTGCCAGCCAATGTGGAATCACCAGTTAACCTAATATAAAGCATTTCTGTAAGTTCAGTAAGGAAGATCTGTAATCAATCATCTGACTACTTTCCTGGGTGTTAGTTCTGTTCTTTACATCACTACCTCTTTCTCATGCTGTCAGCCTCAGTACCGTCATCATTAATCTAGTCAAATCATCGTCTTCTTGCCCACCTTCTTTGAGCCACTCTGCCTCCAATTCACGTAGTTTAAATCTGTGCTCTCCATCTGCAGGGGAGGGGTGGAGATGTGCGTTTAGGGTGTGGTGTCAGGTGAGGCTGACTCACAAAAATGACCCCAATCATCTGATCATGTCTCCCCACTTGCGTATGTTGCTAGGAACTGAAGAGAGAACTGCGCGTGGTGTGAAGCTGAAGGAGGGCAGCTTGAAAGCTCCTGCAGAAAGCGATCGAAATTTAAAAACAAACACTGAGTGTGTAACGCTGTGTGAATACGTCCTTTATTATCACATTCTCCTTTTTACACTCGTGGAACCCACCCTCCTTCCCATCTCCACCAGACAGTCGCCTCAATCAGTCAGACCTCAGTCCTCATCTTCACCTCCGTCAGCATCCAGACTCCAGGGGCTCATGTCCTAAATCCTATCACTGCTGCGATTCCTTCATGCCATGATGGGTCATAGGAGTCAAATCACCAGATACATTAATTTCTCCTTCTCAATAAATCAAATTCTTACAAGTGATCTCGCCTTATTGAAATGCATATATGTATAATATGCTGGAGGAAATCTGTGCAGGCACAGAGATCTGATGTTCAAACCAGAACTCTTCTTCCTGTAAGGTGACAGGGCTAAGCACTGCACCACTGTGCCACCCACAGGACATAATGCATATGTCACGTGGGTGACAACAGGAAGAAAAAAGTTAAGAATGTTCAGCATTTGTAAGGGTGATAAAATTGCCATATAAAGCTGTTCATTCCACTCTCTCAGCAGTGCCTGTGGTGACCATGAAACATGAAGCAGTCTCCAGTCCAGAGCCGTACTGGGATAGAAGAAATGCTTTGACACAAAGTTCAAACTAAAACATTTTCTTAAATTGTTCATTACTCAGTGAGAGGTGGTCAGGGATTAAATTAAACAATGTTACAAAACAGGTAAGATTCTTATGATAATGAAGGCAAACGATAAACAGTGAAAATTTCAAGTCTACAGCAAGATTTTATGTTAATTAATCTTATTATTCTAGACAGTTTTATATTTATTTTACTGCAGATTTAATGAAGCACTTTAGTGCATAGCAAGAAAGAACACACGTGGCTTCTGTATGAAACAAAAAATCAGTCAGGTTTCGTTGTGTTTTGGCTTCAGTCCTGCACAGTTGCTATAAACTAATAAAGTAGAAGATTTCGCTGTGCTGCTGAGTTTAAAGACAAATATGTTTTTAATGCAGACACAAAGGAAAGCACCTGATCGTCTCATCATTGAGCTTCTCACTGAGGTAAGACTGTAATGTGTTTCCCTTAAAGTATGAGTTGCCTTTGTGATATATGTTGTTGTGAATAAAACTGAATTCATTTCAAGGAAATTGTTGTAGTTTATAAAATATGATCAATACAGGAGTAAAAAAAGTAGTGTTATTCAGGGAATGTTCATTGGCTAACGACGGGTCACAAGCCCGTAGCCAATGAGCATGCGATCTCTTCAGTTTTCCTTTCTTGTGCTGCTGTCTGTCAAGATCGTGACAGAGAAAACGATCAGTTAGGTTAAGGATACTATGTTTATTGCAACTGGTTACATTTACTTTTTCTTCTGGAATTTAACAAACCAAATGCAGGAGCTTTGTGTTGGGCAGGAGGGGGGGCTGCAGCTTCAGGTTTAGCAGTTATTTCAGAGTTATTATTGGTTCAGGAATACTGAAGCATCATGCTTGCTTTATTCATCTCCCGTGAGTTCAGAGCAGGGTTCAGTCCTTCAGGATAAACAGTCGTCTGAAGAGTTCTTGGACCTGGTCCTTCCCCGTGTCCTCATGGCCCCCCACTGAACGCTGAAACCAGATCTTTGACGCTGCTGGCTGTACGTGGTGTTTCCTCGTCCTCCTTCTTCTTCTTCCTCATCTTTCTTGGGTTGGCATTGAGACTCTTGGAGCGCAGCGTTGGATACATCTGGTCCTCCCCTACCAGCAGCTCCTCCTCCTCCTCTGCATTATTATTCTGACCCTCCTGTTCATGGCTTTGCAGCTTGGTCTCATCTAGTTCCTCTTTGGATTCCTTGCTGGTCAATTCAGTGGCCCAATTCTGGTCCTGCTGGCCGGGGCTATAGATGATGTTGCTGACATACTTCTTATTGGAGGATGGAGAGCTGCTGAGGGTTGGAGAGGATAAATACTGTGTGACCTTTGACCTCTCCAGAGGGAAGGACACAGCCGCCTCCAGTCGGCCCTTCTCTATGGGTTTATCTTTGTTAGTGTCAGCCGAGTCACGTTGAGGTGAAATGGAGCAGATCTTGGGGGATTTGATGTCTGGGTCACAGGGAGAGATCAGAATGTCCACGTTTGAAAGAGACTGAGTGTCCTTAAGTCCTTGTACCTCCAGAGCTGAGCAGAACTCTTTCAATTCACCTAAAAAGAGAAGTTCAAACAGAGGATAACTGTTTACCTTCATTCTTCTGATATAATGCGTCCAATAAAGACTCATCTCCTGTCCTACCTGTTTTGGTTCTTCCCTCGCTGTTCCCACCTTGCCTCTCTGGACTCTGCTGGACCCTCTTGTCGTTTCCCTCCATGTCTCCGAAAACCGACGTCCTGTCGTCGTGCTCCAGCTGGTATCTGTACAGACTGTACCCGTCAGCGCTGTTGATGCTGCCTTGGCGCAGCAGAGTGCCCGGCTCACACACGGACGATCCTCTGGAGTGCGTGCGGACGAGCTCAGCTCGGTCGACGCCCGCCAGCTTCTCCAGAGCGTTCATCATTCGGTTAGAGAACTCCTCCAGCTGAGCCAGGCGGAGGTCGACCGTCTGCAGGGATGCCTTCATCGAGTGTTCCCTTTCATTTACCTCCTCCAGACGCATGAACATGTTCTCCACCCTGAACACACGACATGAGTACTCAGGGCTGTGATGGCAACAAGTTGTAAGTTATGCTGTCTCACTTAAGTTTCAGTTGCCGGGTAAATCATTACATTTTTGTTTGTTTTTTTTCACATTTAACAGCATTTTAAGTTTTATTCAGTTCTTAACGTATGTATTTTTGATTCTGGCAGTTTTGGTCCTCCACAGATTGCACGCTGAGATGAACACGAACCTTTCAGACGTGACTCTTATTCGCTCGTTGTTAGACGACTGCTTCTCATCGTCCTTCTCTCTGAAGTATTCCTCCACACACTGTTCCTCAAACTCATGCAGACTCTTCAGCTCATCTGCATTCAGCACCAGCTCTGAGGGAACACAGCATTTTAAACTCGGCACACAAACACACGTGACTGCAATGTGTGCCTCAGACTGGTAGAGGTGGTTCTGATAGCTTGAGAAATACCAGGATTATGCTGTATTCATACTGAGCCTTTAACCTACTTTAGCTTCTGTTAGTGATGTGCTTAAACATATTACATTTTTAGATATCAGATACTGAAAAAAACTGAACAGGATCCAGAGTTTAAGTTCAGGTTCTGATTATGGCGGTCTCTGTCTTACGCAGTCGTCTTTCGCGGTCGTCGTACTCTCCACCCTCTGCTCTCCGTCTGCAGTGGCAGCACAGCCTCTTCAGTACAATGTAGATGTGGGGGAAGACGATTAGCGGCGGGGGCAAGATGGGGCGGTCATGGAAGGTCATGATCAGCTGATATCGCTGGAACTTCCACACCTGGTTAGAGATGGACTTCACCTCAAAAAAGGTGTTGCTGTGGAGCAAGTGGAGAAAATCTCTTAACTCATTCACTGCCATTGACGTCTATAGCCGTCAGTTGCAGTGTATGAGTCAATGGGTTTAACTCATTCACTGCCAATGGCTGGCAGTGAATGAGTTAATTATCACTTTATCATTATATAATCAGGTTTTCAAAGTTCAAGGTGAAGTTATCAACTGGAACCGTGAGCTAACTAGAAAATGGTTTCTAGGTATTTTTCCTTCCCACCAGTTAATAGATTATGGTGACATCTACACAGGAAGTGACATTCCCAGCCCGGGCTATTGTTTTCAGTGCATCTCTACTGTACCTCTGTAGAGCAATTGAGGGGACACACTGCAGATCTAAGCAGTTTGTCCTCAGATGTTTCCTTGGATAGAAAATTTTCCAACAGAATGATTTCCTCTCAAGGTCTTGATATAGACACAGTATAGCACCAATAACATCAACTCGTGTTCCTGCTGCCAG